GAACGGCACAGGGACGCGGGGAGAAGTAGTAAGGAGGAGGCGGTGGGGGGGGGGGGGGGGGCGGGGGGGAGGGGGCGGGTACAGCTGGCTCTGCCTCTAGATAGGCAGAGCCAGCTGACAGTCACGCAGCTGGGCGGATCCCGGCACAATTGTCGCTTCAGCTGCGGCATCTCAGTATACCACGAGCTACAGCGCGGGGTATACTGAGCCTAGGGTGACGAGAGGACGCTAGTTTGTGTCCTCCCGTTACCCTAAGGAGAACTATGGGGAAAAGACTTTAATTGCATTAGGCGGCTACTGATTTTGTCATCAGAGTAACATGTTCAAGATATTAATGAACCTATATTGTATGTATAGATGGCATAATTACTTGGGTTGTACGGCTGTACACCACTGTTTGATGTCCGCTGATCTCTTAAGTCATTGTATGTTTTGTGCAAAACAATAAAGATATACATGCTTAAAAAAAAAAGAAAACTGAATGTACATTCATTCTGTGTGAATGAGGGGCAAGAACAATTGTTATTAATTTATTGTTTTTCCAGGTCGAATGCAATACCACATTGGATTTTGGTGGGTTACATTAGAAAGCATTGTACAAACACAACACGCACTGCCCAATGTACACACTCACATTTTGTTGGACAAATCCAAAGACTGTTTTTTCTGAAGGTCTAGTTTATTCGTTAGTCTTCCATGTGAAGCTTGAAGAAGTAAAATCTTATTTTTCAGGGATGATACATTCTGTAAAACACAATAACTTGTATTTCTGATGGCAAGCATTTTTTGTATAATAACATTTAATAAAATATATTCAAAGCCATCCGATTTTTGGATTCGTATTGAATGGGTAAACCCCATGTCATTTTTATTTTGTCTCTCTGTGTCCCATTCCCTTCAAGCTGGAGTCATTTCCCTTGACTTCCTGTCCCAGAGCAACATCAGGAAGTTAAAGGATATTGCTCTAACTTGGGGGGAAATACACTCAGACAGTTTTCACTAGAACCGGAATCCCCATTGGAGGATGTTACTATCTTTCAAAGTATCCTTCGTTAATGTTCCGTGTGATACATAAAAACAAGCAACTCAGCCCAAAATTGGTCTTAGTCATAGCTATCCACTCATATACTAAATCTGCCTAAAATACCCAACCCACCAGCTACCTGGGAGAGGAAACTATTTGCAAAATGTGCATTATAAAACGACTATACACACGAATAGCGGCGTACATATAAATGCAACAGTAAAATGAGAAAAACAATCGCAAATATATACAAAAAAGGAAATATGCAAAACAGATATGTAATGTGCAAATAAATATGCGATCTATAATTTACCCTTGCAGTATCCTAAAGCAAAGTGTAAAAATCCAAAAGACTTCTTGTTCTAGAAGGTCTCAAGGTAATTTATTTAGAGGACATATTCCCTGTAGGGATGCACCGATACCAATACTCATACTCGCCCAAATGCTCCTGATGCCTAGCCCGATACCGGAACTTCCGGTATTAGAAAGCCGGGCGACGAGTCATTACACGCTACCTGGCTTCCTGATTGGGCAGGAAGCCAGCTCCATGCTTCCTCATCACAGGGAGCAAGGAGCCGGCTTCCCGGCCAATCAGGAAGCCAGGCAGCGTGTAATGACTCACCGCCCAGCTTCCTGATTGGTCAGAAAACTGGTCAATCAGGAAGGCGGGCGGCGAGTCATTACCCGCCCCCCAGCTTCCTGATTGGCCAGAAAGCCGGCTTCATGCTCCCTCGTCACCTGGTGACGAAGGAGCATGGAGATGGCTTCCCTGCTAATCGGGAAGCCGGGTGGCGAGTCATTACATGCCGTCTGGCTTCCATAATGGAACTTCCATATTCCGTATCGGCAAGTACCGGAAAAAAACATTCGGTTCTCGCACTCGATACTGAAAAACCCGTATCTGTGCATCCCTAATTCCCTCCATGCTCCATAAAAAGCTGCATCAACACATTTGAATAATAGAATGTCTGGGGATTCTGTTGTGCATAAAAATGTTCACCTTTTCTGGTCCACGTCACAAAAGAAAAAGCGTAGGCCGTAGGAGTAGTGTCGCTGTTTTTGGCAGATTCAGTGTACAAGCGGAGAGATATGACTTTCTGGCTGAAAGGCTTCAAGTGGTGCTTGTTTTTTTGTATAACTTAGAACTTTAATAAAGGATACTTTGGAGTGTTGTGCTTTTTGCTTTCGACTGGACGTTTATCAGGGAAGTAGATTCTATGAGGGTTGATTTACTAAGTCAAATAGGCTGTTCAATTAGCAAGGCAATTTACCCTTAGCTTAGTGAATGAAGTGAAGCTGTGCTAACTTCCATCATCCAATCATGTGCAAGCAAAAATAATTAAAACATTTTTATTTCCCTAGCACATGACTGGGTATTCTTTGCAAATTGAATTTTCACATCATTCACTTAGCTAAGGGAAAATTCTCTTGCAAAGGGAACAGTCTATTTGCCTTCAGGAAATCAACCCCTATGTCTGTGTACAGCGGGTGTAAACTGTATATGCTGGGCCATATCTGAGGTGAGTAGCAGCCATGACAGACTTATAGATATTGTTCTCCTTCCTAATTTTGTAAAATTCTGGGTTTCCTGTCACTCTCTGTCCCAGTGATCATGGGCCACCAGGACAAACCCAGAGGGTGAATCTCTGCGGGGGATGGGGGTGGGGGTGGGGTGCACATGTTCCAACTTCCCACTACTTTATCCAAAAGAAAAAAAAAAAGGAAACACTATACTGCAGCTAAACACATATTACTGTGCTGGGTGCTTGAATATTTTCAATTGTACATACACAGCATTAGCGCCCATGTACATGTGCTTTTGTTTGCTGTTTTCTCTACACAAGTCAATGTGTATGCAAAAGCTTGAAGTAGGTTGAAGCATCTTAGGATGCTGGAGAACAACCAAAAGTACACAGAAAGTCAAGTGCAATTTAAATTAACATGTCAATGAACTGTGAATTATCTCAGAAGTGTTCCCAATTGAGCTCAAATACATGCAGAATGCACCTAAAAGCAATCTGCATTTGACAATCAACACAAACCCAATGGTCCCCTATAGACAGCCTGGATTTGGCTTATTTCTGCTTAAACTGCCAACATTGCAAGCACCAACCAGCTTGATAAAGGTCAATTTAAAAATCCTCTGAGCAGGGTCGAAAATCGTCAGCCAAACAGAGACAGCATCCTATCAGATGCAGTCACTGTTTCGGTATTCATGCAGCCATGGCTGCCTGCATACAACAGTCAGCAGTGGAGAATCCTTCATCCATGCTGTTAGCGTGGATGGGGGAATCAGCTGATTTTCTTTTATTCCCACTTACCTCTTTCTCACTATTAACTCTCTCCTCCACATCAAACAGTACTGATCTCCGCTGCTTAAGGTATAACTTCTTTTCTTCATTTCTGGCATCCTGGGATTCCGTCTTCCTTTGTGTTTCTAAAATCTGGGTAGCAGATAAGGCTCAGTATAGATAAAAGGCACTTACAAGCATCTTATGGTCAGTACAATTTATTCACTTTTGTTTTACAAAAATATACATATATGGCAAGACAGACATAAAACTCAGTGCAGACCAAAAATTAAAAAAGGTGATTCATTTTATACATTAAAGTATTGGAAAATGCACAATTTCAGCCCTGGTGAAGGTGAAAGAAAATATCTATAACCTACACATCTGTGAAATTAGATTTGGAAGTCCAACCTGGACGAGCTATTGAACAGCCTGATCTGATGGAAATGTTGCCTAGCATGACAGGTCATCTTTTAAGGGTCTGTGTCAACAGGCTTTCTATTTGCATCAGTTTTGCTGAATTTGCTTGCAGGAGGTCAGCTGCAAATTCTGAATGATTTTAAAAGACACAATTGACACAAGCTTAAACCTCATCAAGACAGCCCCTTGAAGCCTAACTCCGGAGAAAATAAACTTACTCGGGTTAAAGTAGTTACAGATTCCGTTCCCACAAAAGCAACCCCGTATCATGCTGGCTTTATTCTGAATAGTGAAATTGTTGGTTTACATGTCAGGGGAAGAACACCCCCCACTGTACTTCTGGACCTCTTGGATGTAATCGTTGCAGTTCTTATAGACTCCAGCATTACGGTTGTGTCTCCGCCTACCTCTCCTCCAGGCCATTAACAAAATAAATCCAAAAGGGCCAGAAGTACAGTGGGAGATGTACTTCCCCTGATATGTAAATCAACAATTTCCCTATTCAGAACTTCTGGCCCTCTTGGATGCAAGCATTGCAGGTCTTATAGATTCCAGCACTACGGTTGTGTTTCTGCCTACCTCTCCTCCAGGCCATTAAAAAAATAAATCCTGGGGCTGGGTGTTGTGTGAACAGCCTGGGGGGGAAGGAGGTAGAGACACAACTGTAGCACTGGACTCTATGAGACCTGCAACGTTTACTAGGGATGCACCGATACTGTTTTTTTCAGGTATTAAGTACCGATATCTTGCTGTCGGTACTTGCCGATACCGAGTACCAATACCGGTGCTTCCACTGGCATGGATCCGGCTTCCTGGGCAATCAGGAAGCCGTGCAACGGGTAATGACAATGCCGCTCCGCTTCTTGATCTCCCGGGAAGCCAGCTTCCCAGCCAATCAGCATGGAGCCGGCTTCCTGGCCAATCAGGAAGCCTGGAGGCCAGTCATTACTCGCCTCCTGGCTTCCTGATTGCCCGGGAAGCCGGCTCCATGTTCCCCTACAGCACTGTCGGTCCTCTGACATCTTGGAAGGTATCAGAGCATTTGTGTGAGTATGAGTACTTGCCCAAATTCTCGGTATCGACACCGATACCAATACTAGTATCGGTATTAGGGCGTCCCTAGCGCTTACATCTGAGCAGCCCTATTTATAATGTACTATTGCTGGGATTTGTAGTCCTCTATAGCCGGTGCAATTCTGCATTCATTGCTGTATAATTTTACACTTTCCTTTTCACTATATTGCACACCACACTATTTTTTCCACCGCTCCAAGCTTGCTCCTGTGATGGACTACAATCTCAATACAAACTAGTAGATTAACTGATTAATCGAACTTAATAATCGGCTAACTAATCGATTTTGAAAATAATCGTTAGCTGCAGCTCTAGTACAGTGGAGGGTGTATCTCCCCCAACTGCAGTATGTAGCATGACAGGAGTCTATAACTGCCTGAACCTGGGTAAGTTCATTGTGCCTGATGTTGGACTCTCAGCATATATGGAATGAATTGTAATACATTCTGAATTAATGTATTTATAGGAAAAATATCCTAGACACAAAAAGTACCATTAGAATGACCAGCAGATTGAGAGATTTATAGTGTGACAAGACACACCTGAGTTTCTAGGTTTTCCTTCTCTTCAGTGAATTGTTTTCTTTCAATGACCATATCCTCAGCTAGATCTTCAGTTTTGTGCTGATACTCAATGACAGCTTCTTCAGCCTCCTTCCGCTTGCTGTGAGTCTGGTTCACACGCATGCTTTGATTGGCCTTGTCTGCCATCTGCTGGTTGAGCAGATCAACTGCTTTTTCATGTTCATCCCAAAGTGTTCTTCCTTGAATCCTATAACAGACACAATTCCTGTACCATGCAGTGCGCCCAGTCTAATACAAACAACATTGTTGAATGGAAGCAGCTACATTTCTAAACTGTTAAATAACATGTGAGGAATAATGCCAATGAAGCTGAACTCCAGCCTTACCTTCAGTCTTCCACAGGCTTCTCTCCTGGGCTGACATTACTTACTCTGATTTCACTGCACAGCATGAGCTTCTAACAGTGTGCATTACAAGCTGCAGCAAGTCAGATAAAGCCTCCTTCTTATCCTGCCTGAGGAGATCCAGCATCACTTAGCGCTTTCCTACCAAGCCTGACTGTCTTTGGTCCGCTACTATCACAGGGACCATGGGGAACAAAAGTAGCCCCCCTCCAGAAGGAAGGACACTGTCAGCACCAATTCAGAGATGATTTGAGGATCTACAGCCGAGTGATACACAAATAAGGTACATTTTTGGTAGTAGTTAAGGTACTTGAATGCATTTTTAAGATTTAACTTCTGAGCTTAGTGTCACTTTAAAGAATTTGAAAAATAAATATAAGCACGTCCATGCACATGCCACAAACAAGACTTTTGGAGAATAGAGGGTGAAAAGTTACATCCAAGATGCGAAAACATCCAGATGATATTAGAGCAGAAGAATTCTCTGTATGGTTCCCAAATAATTTAGCTTTCCCCATAAATCAGCCATGGGATTCTTTCTTGCCCTATAAGGACTTGGTTTTCAAAACAAACTTCTGTCAGAATATGTTTTTGATTTTTTTTTTAAATTGCCAGTCTTGACTGTTTGAAAAAAAAAAAACCAGAAGGCAAATTTACCCAAGAGAAGAATTTTGTTTCTCAAAATCCAGTTGCTTCTTCTCAGTGTTTTCCAGTTCCAAGGTTATACTTCTCAGTTCATTCTGTAACTGCAGCATCTCTGAGGAGACAGACTCACGAGCACTTGTGACCGCAGCTAAGGATAACAGGAACCAAAAAAAAAATCAACTTACTAACATACCTGCTTTCCAGCTCCCTCATCAACTCCTCCCATGCTCGCCTCTGGAAATCTCTACCACAACCTATCCATCTATCTCCCATAGATATGACCAAACTGAGCCTGATGAAGGGGACCCTGCAAAGCTCTGAAACATTGCTACTAGGGATGTACCGATACTGTTTTTCCGGTATCAAGTACGAGTACCGATATTTTTTTTTCGGTACTCGCCAATATCGAATACTGATACTGGAAGTCCCATTAAGGAAACTGGGTGGTGTGTAATGACTCACCGCTCTGCTTCCTGATTTACTGGGAAGCCGGCTCCATGATCCCTCTTCATTAAGTGACGATGCTCCCTCTTCATTAAGTGACGAGGGAGCATGGAGCCGGCTTCCTGGCCAATCAGGAAACCGGGTGGCGAGTCATTATCCGCCCCCTGGCTTCCTGATTGGCCGGGAAGCCAGCTCCATGCTCCCTGGTGACGAGGGAGCATGGAGTCGGCTTCTCAGCCAATCTGAAAGCCGGCCAGCGTGTAATGACTCGCTACCCGGCGTCCTGATACCGGAAGTTCCGATATCGGGATAGGTATCGGGAGAATTTGGGAAAGTACAAGTAATTGCCCAAATACTCTGTATCGGCACCAATACGGATACTAGTATCAGTACATCCCTAGTTGCTACCATTGTGACAAAATGCGTCAATAAAAACATACACACAATAGGTTGAACTTGATGAACCTGTGTCTTTATTCAACCTCAAATACTATCCCAGATAGCAAGTAATTGAGCTGCAAGTTTGAAAATGACTTGCTAAACTATTGCAGACTTGCCAAGCTTCACAATTTTGTTGCACAGTTACAGCAAGTCTGCATTGCAAGTCTCCAGACCAGGGAGCTTGCAGAGCTCTTGCTAAGACCTGCAGGACTCTTGCTGTAGACCTGCCAAGCAAATTTGCTACAAATTCAAAAAGTGTCAACTAGAACTTGTGCTGCAAGTGTTCTGCAAGTCTACAACTTGCCAGGAATGTGTGCAGCAAGTTAACAAGAATTACAATTTAACCCTGACACAAGTTTGTGGCAAGTTATCCTTGCTATCTGGGATGTAACTATGTAACTGTTTATTTGCCCAGTTTTTCCGGTGTGCTGGTGACATTTTGCCTCTTCATTTTTTCAAAGAAGACAGAAAGCCGGTTATACACAGGACGAATTCCATCCAGAATGAACAGGAACAAAATTCACACAGTGCATGCCACTATCAGCACCGTTCTGCCTGGCATGCCTTGATCAGCTGATCAAAGGAGACGGTTGGAAATTTTTTGTCAGAACGGAGATAGTAACCAATCAACTGCTAGCCCCATTTGGGTAATCTGACAGCAGCCGGCCACTGTCAGAATACAATGCAAACAGTGGGGTATTGGTCCATGAACACTCATAAGAGTTGATGGAAGAATCTGTTATAGTTTCTTCATTCAGCCCACAAGTTGAACAAAGAAAATATAAGCATGTATATCCAGCTTAACAAATAGAGAAGCTTTCAAAAATCCTGTCCTTCCTGTCCTAGTGGTACAACTTGTAATGAAGCGCTGCCCGGCTTCCTGATTGGTCAGAAGCTGGCCAATCAGGAAGCCAGGCGCAGTGTAATGACACAGCCCTCATCAACTCACTTCCGGGCTAATTGGGAAGCCGGGCGCCGCATCATTACACAGCACCTGGCTTCCTGATTGGCCAGAAAGCCAACTCAATGCTTTCTCGTCACCTGTGACGAGAAGCATGGGATAGCTTCCATGCTAATCGGGAAGCAAGGTGGCGAGTCATTACACGCCGCCTGGCTTCCTGAATGGGACTTCCGGTACTCGGTATTTGGTATCGGGGAGTACTGGAAAAAAATATCGGTACCGAAATACCGGTATCGGTGCATCCCTAATAAAAATTATTATTTTTCGAAACAGTAGTTGATGCTTGGAAAAAAATAAAAAAGGGGCAGTCTTTATGAACCACTTTGTCTTTTTCTGACGTATCTCTTCTATGTTCCTAGTCCTGGTGTCAAAGGGACAGGAAGTGATGGGAAATATACTTGAAAAGTCATAAACAGCAATAAAAACCTGAAAGATGTTGGAACCCTTACTCACTCTATCCAGAAAACAAAAAAAAATACTATTACTGTTTAAACATTACCTTCTATTTCCTTTGATATCATTCCGGGCAGATGCGTGACTTTGTATCGAAGTTTGCTGTTTTCGATTGTCTCCGCTTCCAGAAGCTCACGTGTAGCCCTTCTAATGTCTTCCTGAATTGGGACAAAATTAAATATGAAATGCAACAAAATGCATCTGTTGTCTATCTCATAGGGATTAACCCTTTCGCTGCCAAGGACGTACGTCGTACGGAGCTACAAAAGTGCTTCCAGCTGGCCAGCTCAGTACGTCGTACGGACCTGGCATTTACAGTTCTACTAGCGACCATCAGCTTATAGTAGAACTGTTCAGCAGACTGTCCCCTTTAAATTAATAGCTGTCATCAGCGGCTCACAAGCCGCTGATGACCGCTAATTTTAAA